TCTCCCCCGTTCTCTCAATGTTTGTGCATGGACGTCCCAGTAAAATTGGAAAGGGAGGGGGTGGGGGCGGGGTGGTCTTTTCGATTCTTCTAGGGGAATGTGAGCTAAATTCTCACGAATTTCTTCCGTTTCCCACTGAACTATTCCAGCATTCGAGTGGTTCGTGAGCCCAGGCTCCTCTTGAATGTCAAGCAATGTCGATAACACATCGTTTAGGTGGTTGGTCACTGGGGTGTGTCCTTGAGCAAGGACGAGAAGAAAGAGAAGGCTTTGTGCTACAATTTTAGATTGCACGAACAGACGACAGAAATATTTCTCTTGCGCCAGTCTGCTAGGGTGACGTGTTCCTCTCAGTCCCGGTCCTGACAGGCAGGGTCTAAGCAACCCGCTTCCTGAGTGATCTAAATCGTGTTTATAGGAGTATACAGCATTTATAAATACTTTAACAAACAAACACACACACACACACACCCCACCCCCCACCCCACACACACACACGTACAGAGACACACACACACACACACACACTCACACTAATACACACAGAGACATACACACATGCATTCATGCACACATATTCGACTGAATATACATAAAAGTAAATAAGTAAATAAAAAAATAATTAAATAAATGAATGAATGAATGAATAAATCAATGTAAACGTATAAATATTTTTTTCGAATTAATTAATTAATTAATAATTGCATTTATATAGCGCATATCCGTGCTCAAGAACATGCTCTATACGCTTTACAACTATTATTACCCCAGCGGACACTATGAGAACACTCAGAAACATTCTCAGCTTCCGCGGAAGCATACAGTGCAAGCTGCAGATTTCACGAGCTCAAACATTATCAAACTGATAAGATCTTTCACTGTCTATAGCCGGGTACCCATTTCCACCTGGGTGAAGTGAAGAAAATTTGTGCAAAGGGCCTTTCACAAGGATACAACGTCGGGCCCCTGACAGGATTCGAACCCACGACCTTACGGTTGCGAGTCCGAGAGCCTATAACCAGTAGGCCACCGACGCCACTACATTACATTGAATTACATTGTGTATATTATTTTATTGTGTATTTTTATGTGCTCATTTCGTAACGATGTATAGGTGTGTGTGTGTGTGTGTGTGTGTGTGTGTGTGTGTGTGTGTGTGTGTGTGTGTGTGTGTGTGTGTGTGTGTGTGTGTGTGTGAG